CAATGATTTTTATTATATTATGATTTTTATTATATTATCAAGCAATTTCAAAATATAATATGAAAGCGAACAACGAGATGATAGATGCGTACGTCTGTGCGTTCATGTTTTGACTTTTCACGTTGCATATGATTCGAAAATAACATCTGTTAATAATTATTTCTAAGCAATTAGTGGAGATGAATATTTTGATATATATTTATTTTATCGTTACACGTGCTGACGTATTATCGGGTTCATTGTCTTGTGTTAATTTTCTGAATAACAAAATAACCGGCGAAAATAATATAAAAATTCTAGAATACGTTGCAGTGATTTTATAAATGAATAAAACAATAGAGTTAATAAAAGTTAATAAAATCTCAAAACATTGATGAGAACTTGATCTAATTTCTCTTCGAATTTTACATGAACTTAAGGGCGTCAGACAACGTCGAAATGATCGATGCGCTTATCTCTCGCGTTTGCGGAGGAATCTCCGGTATGTTGGCTGCGCATAGTTGGCTCGAGTTTGCAGTCGGCTCGACTAGCGCAAAGCGAACCGTTCTCGAGAACGAAGTATCCGCGCCCGTAAACAACTCCCGTTGAAGCGAAACGGAATCGTTAGTACGTAATCGGCATACGGAAGTATGGCCTAAATTCCCTACATCGCTTCACACATCGCAATGCTTCATCGCGCTCTTTCTCCTAAATCCGTTCGGAAAAAAGTTTTCACGACTAACGTAAATGAAAATCGCAAAAACAAAGACTTTGTCAGTTCGCGTTATCAGTTAAAAAAAAAAAAAAAAAAAAATTGAAGATTGTGAGAAATTGCGGACAGAGAGAACATTCGCTCATTGCCAGTCGTTTTTCATGCCACGCGCCGTGTTTTTTGTGCCACTAATTTAAGCTAACATAGAGACCGGCTCTCTCTCTCGTTGGTCACGAAATTTGAGTTGCTCATCCTCGTCGTTATTGTCGTTTGAAGATCCCGAGATTTAAATTCTTCTACTTTTTTACCGGGCCGTTGGTCACTGAACCAACGAGATTTCTCTGAGACAGTTTTCATTCTATGGTTTAAACGCGAAAAATAAAACTATAAAAAAGGGATTAATATAACGACGGTTGTTAATCAAAGAGAATAAAAAATCACAAACTTCTGAATCTACAATAGTTGAATTACAATTCTCGAAGAATTTTGTTTATTGCAATTTATTTGTTTGCGAGAAAATCGCGCGGAAGAGCAAATTTAATAGAGTAATGTAATGTCTCGAAATGTAATCGAAATTACACATCTGACCTAGGCCTTAAGAATAACAGACAGATAGTGACGCAAAATCAACTCGGCGGGGATTAAACGCGCACGTTTTATCAATGCACAAAGCAGTTACTGTGCATCTTCAATCGAGAGCAAAATGCGATTGAGATCTCTGATAGCTTTGTCGTTTCAACTCATTTCGTCTCGGAACAGAGATTGAAAAAAAAAAAAAAAAAAAAGAACGATTTGTGTTGTTTAAAGCAACTGAACGATCTTTGTAAACTCTCGAGAGACGCCACGCGCTGATGTTACGTGTTACGTACGTTATATAGTTGCACAGCACGAAGTCGGTGGTTGATGAGTTTACGACTTGGTCGAATCTTGAAACGACCGAAACTTCACAAGCGCCGGCGCGCGACCGCAAAACTTCAGTTTTATTTATAGTCCAAACCTGAGTCTCTTCTGGGGTGCGTTCACCGCGCGCGGCCAGATTCCAGCGCTTATTACGCGAGAGAGACGCCGCGCGCGTTTCTGTTACATTATTTCGCGAAGAAAATCGCGACAAGCGGGATTTATTTGAGCGCGCGTGCGCCCGCGCACGTATCGGCACCGACAAAATTAAACTTTTGGATGAGGTTCCAAAAGCGACACTCGATATTCGGTAGATTTAAGAGGGCAAGTGTGTCGAAGAGATCGCGTCGCGATGACGCTTTTCCTCCACCCGAGCAAAGTCCGCGAAATTCGCCGCGGCGGGATTCTTCCCGAGAAGACATCTCTTCGAATATATTTCGCGAACGTTTCTTTATACAGAGAAAAATGTTTAATTTTAGACGCGCGACACTTCCGTGGAAAGTTGATTTCATTTCGAAAATAAATGCCGCGTTGGACATTATTCTTGGTAGTCTTGTCATCGATGTATCATCGCGCTTTATTTTGAATCCGCGGATTTTTCGAATAATCGCACGCGGATGACGACGCACCTTCGCGCTTCGACGTGAGAAAATCTTTTTCTAGATTGCTGACGAAGACGGTGTTATAAATAAATATACAAGCCGCGATCACCGCGCGACATTTTCTCTCGCGCGAAAAGATCTCTTCGCTCTTCGTAGCGATAATACCGACGCGATTCTTTCTAACCCAATCGATTTTCGATCGAACTCTTGTAGACGATAGATACTCTTGTCGATGCGACTTTTGTCAAGTACGAGGTAATTTTTAATTACGAATTGTCTATGCGATTTAATCTCCGAGTACATTACGCGCGTCTTTGACTTAATGCGAAGTGCTCATTATTTATGCAAAATGACGTTTTATTGTCGGGCGAGCGGGTATATTGCCGGTGTAATATCGCGCAGCGGCGCGATATTACCACACCGGAGGTTTACTACCTCGAAAGTAGTAAAACAATAGCGGCCTGACGCTAAGTGACGTGATGATGACAAATTATGTATGCCGGCAGGAAGGAAGGGCCAACCCGCGTTTATGACACCCGCAGAGGACGGGGGACATTAAATTAACTTATTCAACAATCTCCGGCCTTGGAACGGAAGCTGCGAGTGCGCGCTTATTGTTTCGTACGGCACACGAAACGATTACCGACCCGTCAATCAAACGCCAAAGTGTTCGCGACGTATATATACATATACATATACGTATCACGAAGAATCGTCACACGTGGCGTAAAAAAAAAAAAACACGCTAATTACGCGCAACAAATGCTCGCGATTTATCTACGTAAGACTTTGATGTAAACGTTTGTTTTTTTAATTGTGTGCAACAAATGATAATCGTCGGAATAAAACGAGCGTGTGTATAATTGCGGCGACTATAATCGCCGATGTGTCGCGCGAGATACGCAAGAGACTGAAAGATTTCAACGCGTTGCCGTGACACCAAGTGACGCCGGTGTCTCTCGTTTCGCGCGGACTAAAATAATCGCTCGCGAAGAATGAGAAGAGAACACGATAAATTAGCCGTGGCGGTTCGCCACGAGGTCGCTGCCATTCGCGGTCGTCTACAAATTACAATTTCGCCGCGTGTGCGGTCGTGCGACGAGGGGAATCACCGAGGGCCGAATCTATAATGCACGAACGATCCCGTCCCGTGGAACGCGGTTTTGCACGGGCGTCAAAGTGGCACGATCGAGCGTCGAGATCGAAAAAGATGCGCGCGACGTGATGTCGGCTTATGTAACTTCGTCGAATCAATTACGGATTACGAACTTTAATTAGAGCGCGCAAGAAAGTCGAGCGAGATAATCTCTCGGAAAGTATCGTTTTCTTCTTGCGAGCGCAGATTCTCCTCGCAGGCGGAATCGCTTTCGATCGCGCTTGAACTCTTAATCTTCGATTAAGAAGATCGATTTTGAATTGTAGTCCTCTGTTGATCGATTAGTCATCAGCAGAGTGTGTACTCTTTCCAAGTTGTAATCCCGGATTTGTTCCACAACGAAGCGCGTGTGAACAACTCGATTTAGTTTTTCCTTCGGACAAAAAGCGCAGAATCTTCTTTCTTCGCGCGAGAAAAGCTGTTTCATTTGCAAACAAAGGCAAACACGACACTTGAGAGGCGCGCCGCAGTTTCGCGATATCTATCTTCGCACCGTTCGCAAGGTTTCTGAATGCGATCTCTTTGTTGTCTTCCGAGAATCGCGTTGAATCAATTGATGACATAATGAATGACATCGTTATTATCGTTAACTGTTGTTATTAACAACAGTTCGATTGTTTTATACGTTACTTTTCTCGGTAACGGATTTTCGGAGAAATTTAACTATTGTTACACTGAGAAAAAAAAGTTGTTGAAGTTACAAAATAGTATTTGATTCAACTATATGCAGCGGTCGCGGGCTGTCAATGAAATATTGATTAATGTAAGAAGATATCATGTTTCAATAGATATAATAATTAGATTATACCGAAAGACAATTTATAGTTGTTTTAACAAAATTATAATTTGCTTAAATACAGGTAACTTTGAACGTACAACACAATAGGACAACACAATATTTTGTCTGCTTATAAAAATAAGCAGTTTGATTAGATGAAATACTTAGTACAAAGAAATTCAGATTATATTCAATTAATGTAAATGAGAATTGCCTATTTCATCTTTTTTAACAGTATCTTTTATTTGAAATCACAACTTATATGTTCGACAAAACAATTCATGGTTTAGTAAATTAAATATGTTCATTACCACTATTGTTAATTCAACTTATACAAATTTATTATCTTTATTACCATATGCTTGAATTGAAAACACAAGTATTTCAGATAACAAACTGAAACTCAACTAAACGCATTTAGTTGAGTTAATAGTATTTTTTTCTCAGTGTATTACAAATTTATTAATATCGATATCGTGTGCGCCTATCGCGCTATTTGTGCGCGAAATGTATTTTTTATTTTGCTTTAAACGCGTGCGAATTAAATATACAGCAGAGACTACTGTATCCGAATATCCTGATATCCGAACATTCTGTCATCCGGACGTTGTCTGAAAACAGCCGTTTCGCTTCGATGTTTGCATTCAATGTACGTACTTTTCCGCGTACGGTCGATTGAATCGTAAAATCGTAACAGTTTAGTACGAAGCGGAACAGAGTACGCTTCATAAATTAAACTTCCCGTGAAAACAAATTTATTTTTTGACTCATATGCACACATAAATTTCTAACGTTTTTTTGTTTGTTCCAACCAATTGTTCTGCCCGCTCGAACGAGAAAAGACACGCGACTGTTGTTCAAGAGATCGCTACTCACCTAAGACGCAGGACGCGAGAAGAACTCGAAAGACGAGGTTCTTCATGATCCTCGAAAGTCCTCGATGGCGCCGGCGCGTAAACGTCGATCTCTCGACGCGTCGAATCCGAGTGAAAAAGAGCCGGCGCGACTTTACGTCAAGCGTGCACAAACGCGCGCTTAAATCTATATTTAGATATTCGCACTGCAATAATATTAGCACCGAGAGTACAGAGGAAAGGCGTCACTGGAGAAGATTTGTTTCGAAGCTATACAGAACGAAACCCGCGTTTAGCGGATCTTCCGGTTCGTGTTGTATCAGCTGAAATCGCGAAGCGAGAGAGAGTCAGCTGTTTTCTATCAAAAGATGCCTTGTCGACAAAACCTCGAGCAGCTCTCGCTGTAATTCGCCTCGCAAATCCCCTTTTGCTCGGTACTTCGTGAATCGTACGAGGTCACTGTAATCTTCATCGATCTTCTTCTGTCCGTGGGAGATGCGATTTTGCGCGGGAAACGCCGCTCTCGATTCTTTTCAGCGCGACGGACGCTTTTGAGATTTGACACGGTATTGATAAAAATAAAAAAAAAATAAAAAAAAAATAAATCAATAAAGAAGCCAACGTGAGAAACGGAGACGAATCTTCGGACGAAGCTTCGACGGACGGTTTATTTGCACTGCGGTTACCTGATGCGAAAGCTATTGGAGCGATGCGCGACTCTAAAGAGAGACTGATCGTCCCCCGGCTCTAATTCTCTCTGTGTCTCTTCCTCCTCCACCGCTTCTTCCCGCTAAACTGCCTCCTACATCGAGCGGAGGAGGTGGAGATGCCTCGTTGAAAATTTTACGATATTTTTGTGTGTTGTTGCGAACGCGACGTTGAATAAGGAAGTGGAAAAGCAAACTTCGCGCGTTGATGAAAAACAGTGTCGATTAGACGAAGTCAAAAAGAGATTATGTATAAAAGGTCTTCCCAAGAGACCTCCGTAAGTAGATGGAAGATTGGAAGTTCGCCAAGAAGCGGTCTATTAATTATTCAGTTTTTTTTTTAAATGTCATGCTATTTATAATGATCAGGAAGGAAGATGAGTCAATATTCACATAGAAAGAAAAGAAAGAAAGAAAAAGAAAGTTGCCTTGAGAAAAGCAACAATGTTTAAATTAAAATATATGCAAAAGTAAAATTAATTAATGCTTTTATAATATTTATGATAATTTCTAAAAATATATTAAATTTCTAAAATTATATCAAACGCTTCTGAGGATTGGGAGCGAAAAATTGTTGGAAGGAATCGCAAATTACATGAAAGGTTTGCAATGTAACATATTATCAATATTTATTTATTTCACTGATCATGACAAAGTAATAATCACGTAAAGCTGTTAAAAGTAAAACCCCGTTATCACTAGATTGTGTGTACTGTATTTACAATTCGCATCCGTCAAAACATTCTCTTCTTGACCTCTTCTTGATATTTCTTCTCCAACGATATATATAAATATATATATATATATATATATATATATTTATATATATTTATATATATTTTACATATAATATTTTGTTGTCTTCTCTGTGTGGCGCCTAGCCCTCGCACACAAAGATCGAGCGCGTAAAGCTAAAGTTCACGAGCGCGCGTGTATATGTGTATGTGTGTGTATGTGTATTTTGTTATTCTCTCTTTCTCATTTCTCTCACATTCAAATAAACGGACTGTGTTAAGCGTCGCCGTAAGAAAAGATTATTGTACCCGAAACCCCGTTTTCAGTGAAGTAGTAGTAGTTCAAGTAAAATACTCTAGTTAACAATAAATTATTAAATATCTATTCACAGATGTATGTATAAGCTATCGTTATTACTATCATCGTCGTCGCCGGACTCTTGTCGTCCTCGCTCGTTACATATATCGCGATTATCTCGCGCATACATCACCCCAACCTAGTGCTTACTTTGTGTTCGTGTGTTATCGATGAAATATCAGAAGTTTTACACGGTGAATCTTCCTCTGGTCGAGAGCAACGCGCGTCGAGAGGATCAGCATCCCCCTCTGTCTCGAGAGAGACGCTTATATAAACGCTAACATTTGATATAATCTTCCGCCGGGTGACGATCGTTGACAAACTCGGAACATTCACCGCGAGATCGCACTACACTTTGTTAATTTACATTCTAAATATATAACAACGGATTAGCTGAGATACAAAAGTGTGTGCGAGTCTTGTGTTACAAGATGAATTCACATCTTATCCAACATTGTCAAGCGAGATTTAATTCCGCGATGGAAGAAGTCGCGCCACATTGACTCGTCCGCGAGAATCAACATTTTTTTTTTTTTATGTGTAAATAAATATTATATATAATACAATATCATGCAATAATATATATCGTACAATATATATATCATACAATAATATATATTATATTATATATAGTATTTTATATTATTGCAATAATTTTTGTGTTACAATATACAATAATAATAGATATATATATATATATATGATGTTTTTTTTTTATTATATATAACATAATACGCGATAAAAAATTATATTTGTCAGTTATCTCTGTCTCTTAGCATCTATCAACGCGATGTGTGAACAACTGTAATTCAAGAAGGAGAAACTTACTTTTTCCCCGAGAGACGCGATGATTGACGTCGAGATAGACATGGCGCGACTCTTCTCCGGGACGCGCTTTAGTATAAACAATGTTTAAAAAAACGTTCGTCGAAATACAACAACATTCACGTGCAACACAAGACGTTACGTAGAAGAGAACACGCGGACCTCTCGGAGATCCGACGGTGACGTGAAACGAAAAACGACGAAGTGATTGTTTGTCGACCGCATTTTGCGCGTTAAAAAACATCAACGCACACACAGTCGCTATTATCGTTCACGTAAAATGTGAGTGCGACGCGCGCTTTCGCGTTGCGCGCGCGCGCGCGCGTGCATGTAAATCTCATAATATAAATCTCTCTATGTATATATATATATGTATATATATATATATATATATATCTTCTTCTATATCCCGCGCCCGCGTCGAAGACGACGTCTCGAAGCGTCACGGGCGTCTTCGAGGCGTCATCTTGCCGTAAGGAACGTAAGAGAGCGCGCGGGGAGCGAAACTGCGCTATGTATACATTAAGTAACTTTCCGGCCGTTTCTCATCAGCGACGAGTGTGCGATGTTGATTGTTCGATAAAAGAGATACTACACATCGTCTGGGTCGAATTCACCTGGGGAAAGAAAATGTGTTTCTTCGCGCAACTGTCTAAACGATATTACGTAAACATGAGTATTGAAATCGTGAGACTTCCGTCTCGTCTCTCACGCGCGATTGCGTTTCCGACCGTGCGAATTCAACCCCCCCCCCCCCCCCGAAACGTCGCGTAAAACGCGCGCGTCCTTGTTATAACCGCTTCTCGTCAATTCTTGCGGAATTTCTGATTTGGACGAATTCATTCGTAATCAATTTTCTTTACAGTTTCAAATACAAGCGCTATACAAGTTTATATGTATATATGATATATTTCTTCTAAAATTTCACTCTACTCTCCGCAATCTCGCACTCCTCGTACAGAATATGACTTTCTTCTCTGTGAAAATTCTTTTTTTTATATATACAACACACATCTAACTCCCTCTTCCCCTTTCGCGTTGAAGACTCCGCTAGAGCTTTTTTAATTCGGCGGCGTCTGTTTACCCTAATTGCTTTAACAACTACAGCGACGCTCACTCGCGCGAGTGATTCCGCGCAACGACGATTCACCAACGCCGTCTCGTTTTCGGCGCAAACGAGCGGCCGCATTCGGATCGCGCGAGCTGTCTCTCTCTTCTTTCTCTCTCTCTCTCTCTCTCTTTTCGCGAACCGCGAAAAACTCTTTGTCGACATTTCTATTTCGATTTGTTCGCCATACAAAAAAGCACGCACACCTCTCGCCACAATTGTGAGAATAACAGTTGTGGTTTCCACGTACTTTCCTCTTTTTCTTTTTCGTTAACAATTTCGGAGGATTGTGTGCGGGAAAGGGGACAGAGATTGGAGACCGACGTATATAGCCCCCAATTGCTGGATATAGTCAAAATCTTTTCGAAGGACGTCGATAAAAATCGGGGAAAAGGGCGCGTGTGAAACGCTAGCGGTACAAAACAGGATGGGCGGGGTTTTTTTTTTTTTTTTTTTTTTTTTTCAAACGGTGGTTCGACAGTTTTCCAGCTCTCTAAAGGTTTATCGCTATTTTTCTTTCTTTTCATTTTTTATTTTTTTTTTGTTTTGTTTTTGATTGACTGACAGTTTTATTTTCGAGGCTTTAGGCGTCACGGAACACAATGTGTACATGATCAGTGCGAAAAACTAGTTCTTATATAATCAGCCGTATAAAAGTAATTCACACAGTTAGTCAATTGACAACGACAATTCACTGAATTCGCACGCAATGAATCTCGTAAAAAATCGCTTACAAAACAGTGACGTAAACATTCGTTAAATACACCTGGAAAAGGACAATGTCTTAACAATTTTGCGTCGATTAATCTAAGTTAATTGTTTTTTTTTTTTTTTTTTAGTCTAATTTTAAAATTAAAACATTAAATTTCTTTTTCCGAAAAATACATATGTGATAAAATCTCCAGTCTTGAGTGTTTCTGGCAGATTTTATGCGCGTTTCGGAGAAAAACACATCAACGGAAAAAAAAAAAAAGATTTCAAACGCAACTTTATAAGCTCAAGATTTAGAAAATGTTAACGCGATGTTAAGGGACGTTAAAGCTACAACGTTATTTGATGCGGATTTTGTAAATGCTCGGTGAACCGCGGCGTCGCGGCTGGAAAAGGAAACGGAACAAAGCATTCACACTCGCAAACGTTTTTTCTCCCTATATTTTTATGTAACATTTCTCTCGTTCTCTCATTTATATATATTTTCTCTCATTCTCTCTTTATTGTGTTCTTTGTTTTACTATTTACAAACGGTGTCGCTTAAATAACGTTCATTAACATTTTCATACCGCGCTTAACTCACTCTCACTCTCTCCTCGCGTTCTTTCTCTCTCGCTCTTTCTCTCTCTCTCTGTCTCTCTCACTTTCTCTCTTTTACCTAAAATAATTATTTTAATTTAATATATGTGTCTCGCTCGCGCTACACGCGATCGAATGTAATGCGAAGGACAGACTAATTCTCCTTCGTCAATTAACTCGCAATTTTTCTATTATGTTACACAATGAGTCAAAATTAATATTATTGTGGTCACAGAGTATTTGAAATATAAACAAATCGCTTTTGTGTTGTCTCATGTACAGTTTAACTGTACGAAGTCAGAAAAGTCGCTTCGACGTGACGCGGTTGAAAGAGAACGCAATTAAATGTGAAAAATAAAACTAGACGCATTTGTGTAGCACTTGTTGTTTGTTATCATCATCATCATCATCGCGTTCATTTTTTTCCCTGCGTAAGTGTGTAAGTGTGATGATATTTTTACGTAAAAAGAAAGCAATTGACGCGAAAGATTGCTGATTGCGAAGAAATCTCATTAGTCACTGCGTAACCCTGATTCACAGTGTATCGCTACAGTTTTTGTTTTCGTTTTCATCACTGCCGAACGAGAATTGCATCGGTATCGTCCGAACTGACACATGGCCGCGCGACTTATAAGGCCGGCGCCGGACGATAGAACGGATTGCCTCTGATCGGAAGCACGTGAGCCTCGGAGTTGAACACCCATTCGTCCAGACTTATGAGATCGTCCTCGCTGAAGAGCAAGTAGAGATACTGCGAATACACAAAAACAAACGTGTTCAGTGTTAAAAATCGTTTACGTTCGAGAGACGCAAAACACAGTTCTTTACAGATTTTTTGTTTCTCGATAATTTCTATTTAATTAGACGAAATGAATAACAGCAATTGGAATTTTCATTGTCGAGGCGACGATTAAAAAACGGCACTTGACCAGCTCGTCATTTTGTCGAAGCGCGCCGCGAGTTCAAGTTTTATAATATAATGCGAAACTTAATTAATTAAAGATACGCTCCGGCGTTCAAGGGTGTGGAAATTTCTTCAACAATCGATTCTGTTATTCGAAGTTTCCTTCCCGTGCGATAACGGAAGAAACGAAAAGTTCCGCGTTGAAACTGAATGTAAATTTGTAGAATATACCGTTTCTGTCGAGAGGGTGTAAATAGCGAACGTTTCACAGCCGGTTTCTTCACGGCAAGTGACGTAAAGCTGGAATCGAGACGATGTGTCTCACCTTCAGTGTCTCGGCGAAGAAGTAACTTTGTTGGACGTCGTCTTTCGCCGAGTCGACCTGGTAAACATTGTTAAGTCCCGTGAATCCACCGGGGACCCGGCAATGTTTCTCCAGCGCTTGAACCGCTTCCCAACCCCACTCGCGATACTTCGGATCCTTTGTCAGCCGCCACATCACGAAGTACGACTCGAACGTCTGCGACAAGAGAAAGAGAGAAGTGCACTTCCTTTTATTATCCCGAGATATTAATTATGCTGCCTGAGTTCATTGCAGAAAAACGAGAGAAGATAAAAGAGAAAACGATAAATTATATAGAATCAGTGGATTTCTCTTTCGCGATTTTATATAAAGCGTTTTTTGTGAAACTTATCCGAAAGAGAATTGTTTTAGAAATTCACGAAATATTAGATTAAAACGAGAGAAGACGTTATTACATCGAGACTTACCTCCGGTCGTAGAATGTAATATTTCTCGCCGTTCTTCAGGCTTCTGGCCTCGTTGCCCTCGATGAAGTGGAAAGCTTCCGGGCCGAGTTTCGTGGCGCTTCGGTCGTAGGATTCGTGACAAGTGTTCGTCAGACCGGCGGCGATTCTCATGTATTTGTCAGACAATTCGTTTTCCTGAGTTTTGGCGCCCAGAGCGAACATGCCGCCTGCAAAAGCGTGCCGTTAACGTTATTACATCGCTCTCGGTGACTCGTTTTTTTTTTTTTTTTTTTTTTATCTTTACGGTTTTCAAATTTCCGCACTTTTCCACAGAGGTATATATAGACGTATAAAAAGAGAAAACAACTAACTACAGTGTATTTTCTTTTAGGAAGATTAAACTTTGCAAATTAATTACTTCGTAATTAGCGCTGCTTTGAATGTATATATATATATATAGTAACTGAGTAAACTGGGTGGTGGAGTTCGATCGTCGCGCGCAAATAATTAAGCTAATGCGTATAAACACTTACCGGCAAAGCAGGCCAAGTGACCCATTTTGTGTTCAAGCCTGTCGTATTTTAAATCCGACACGTATATGAGTTTGCCAGGCGAGGTCTTGATCATGTGCTCGGTTATAGCGGCGATCGCCTCGTCGTACATTTCGCGCGCCTCAACGTCATCCTTGCCCGACTGAATCCAGGCCTTCAGCAGATATTCGTAGAAGCTGTCGCCGAGTCCGCCGAGCGACATGTGATCTGCAATTCACGAAATAATATTTTGAAAATTCATTCCCGCGAGAGAAATGCTCGCGCACGCAAATTTTTTTTCGAAAATTCGCTGCATTTTTCGTTCGCTACTTTTTTTTTAAATAAATGCAAACTTGTTGAATAGTTTTTCATTAAAAAAAAAAAAAAAAAAAACGCGTAGGTACATCAGATCTCTGTTTCTCGGTTTTTTTCCCTTCGGTTCCGAAGCGCGAACGTCGAGTTTCGCGCGAGAACAAAAAACCGATCGGTCGAAACTATTTTGGAAAAGTGATGATACTGTTTCGGATAAAACGGATCGCGAACGGAAACGTCTAACTGCCACAGGAATAAAGCGTTGCTGAAAGAATCTTTTCCCAGAAAAGAAGAGTTTGTTATCCACCTCCGCTTCGACCACAACCGAGGGGAAGGCGAAACAAAGAGCCAAGGCCTTGATTTCTGCCGGGGCTAATTCCCGAGCGCCTCGGGCCGCGGCTAAGAACACGGTTTCTACTTTATGGTGGAGGGTTTACAACGCGAAGGGAAAAGTACAACGCGGCTCCGGTTTTATCGCTTTGATCATTGCTTCCTCGAGAGAGCTTCGCAAGAAGAGAGCTTCGGAAAAAAATACGCGGGAAAAATACTGTCTCGAGCAACACACGGGATTAAAAAACATTTTCAAGCCGCGAGTGTCGATTATATTAGCGCGCTGAACGATAAGAAAAATTCTATGTTCTCAAATTTCAAGTATCTTAATTCCAAAAGGAAACATTTTCTTAAAAAAAAAACAAAAAAGAAAACAATCTCGTGTACTCAATCATCTCTCATATAAAAAAAAAAAAAAATACAAAACGTTTTTGATCGAACGGAAGAATCAAATTACGTTTCTGAGATAACAAACTTTCGGAAGGAATGGACGTTATGCAATTACGATTACGCGATAAGTCGACGAGAATTCAACAGAGACACACTCGTATCGATCGTGCAACTCATTCAATCGACTGTACTTAAGGCTATCCGGGTGGGGTTTCGTTTTTTTTTTTTTTTTTCGAGAAGTTCAGTTCATTCAAGCAGTTCTCTTATCCCTCGCTGCTGCACTTGCATCTGACGCAGCTGCGTCCGTCGGAACGGAACCGTGAAAAACGTGGGAAAAATGCGCGATGAAGAGCCAGAGATACCGAACGGTCAGAGGGATGATATATATCCCTCCGGGGCTCTCGTCATACTCGCGCAACGAGAAAGCATCCGCGGGAGGAGAGCGAGGATGGAGCGATTCAGTGGCGGAAGATGATAAATGCGATATTCAAGATCGGCTACAACGACGACGACGCCGCCGTCTTTTCGCGAAGCGACGTGAACACGGGCTGACCCTTTCGCGCGAGATGCCCGTTGAAAGCACCGGCGATCGAAAGCACGCGGATTCCCCGCCATGTGGTTATATGGAGATTATTTCCGCCGTGTAATTGATGGCCGGTCTTTCAGACGAAAAATCCACTTCGTTCAAGGATATAAGCGTGTCCGAGAGATTGATTAAATTCGAAATTAGTAACGACAAAAAAATCGGCTTGTAAACTCGCGTACAAAAGAAAAAAAAAATAATAATAATGATAATGATAATAAATAAAGTAAGTCTCTAAGTACCGTGTTGTACAGTTTTGGAGCACTGATTTGCACACGTCGAACGATTAGCGGATTAGGTTCCGAGCGAATTAATTTTGCATGAATATTAATCCCGAACGGAGAGAGAGAGTAGCGGGGGATTATATATACCCCGGGATTCTACTTACGTTGACCCCATTTCCCCGTCCTCGGGTGGATATAATTTGGATATAGACCCTTCGGCTTTTCCAAGCTCTTCAGGACCTTCCTCACGTTCTCGACTTTGCTCTTGAACACTGGATTATTCGTTATATCGCTCAGGTAAGTAAACTCAAGATGCATCGTTCCGATTTCGGATAAGATACTGCAGCCGCTGCTCGCCCAGCCGTAATTCTTGCTGGCCTGAAAAAATAATTGCCAATCTTCTAGCTCGGGAAACGTCGCAACGCACAAAAAAAATGTGTGTGTTTGTGTGTAAGAAAACAAGCGCGAATAAAACAATTTTATTGTGAAAAATGACTCGACTCGATTTTTTTTCAAAAAATCTTCGCGCGAGTAAAATGTGTAAAACCGATTTTTGCGCGAAACTTCTCATTAAATTTTGCAATTCAACGGAGTAAGAAACTATTAATTCTCAATGAATAAAGCGAAAATTTTGTAGAGACACTCGAACAAACTTCAATACTTTTCGATAATTGAGAATAATTGTTGAATCGCCGGAAGTTGAAGGAAATGAACAGAAGGTTCCGTCTATCAGATATATCGCTCGAACAGCGTGTAACGAGAGGATTGCGAAACTCAGGTGGAAGAAGGGAAGAGAGAGAGAGAGAGAGAGAGAGAGAGAGAAGCATAATCGCTTTATAATTTAATCCAGCCTGTTAACCTGGCCGCGCGCTGTGATTTCATCGCGTTCAAGATGGACGAGCTCGCGCGCGTAATATTCCGATGGCGCGTCTCTTTCGCGGAAAAGTGGAAATTTCTTGTTTACCGCGCGTGTCGTTGAGATAAAATCAAGGTTTCTTCTTCGACAAGTGCCTCCGTTTTTCCGGAACGACAAACACTTCGGGCGCCGACGCCGTTCCGTTCAAAATTAATGGCAGATTACACGGCATCGGGGCGCGACGAGCGAACGAGAGCACGTTAACATCCGGCAATTAGTCACGCGACAAGAACGCTAATACGAATTATGAAGTCATCAAGCGAGCGGGTTAATTGGAGCATACATATCGTGTCGTAATTAAATCCGACTGCTCTCCGCTTCTCGTTTTCTCGCACCGTCCCGCGAGGGTGCGCGCGTGCAAATTTTCTTCAAAAAGACTGTGTGTATACGCATGCCAGATTCGATCAATCGTTAATCTTGCTTTCAATAACGCGCGCATAAACTGATCTCATGACGTGGCGGAACGCATAATGTAAGTAAATTACAATGTACGTACAGGAATTATTTCTCTATCGATTTTTTCTCTATACACGTTATGGATTAATTTGATTTTTTCCTACGTTAATCTGTGATCACGACCTAACGATGTTTCATCGCCGAACAATCGGGACGGGGAAAAAAAGGGAAAGTGATAGACGCGAACGAGCACATCGCTCATCGTGCGGGAAGTCAAAAAGCCGTGCGCGCGCGCGCACGTCCGCCTCTTCCGCGGCTTCATTATCCGTCCAATTAAGAATTTGCATATTAATCGCGCGCCGCTGTTTCGATAGACGTGACTTGATGGAATCGTTTCAATTAAAGCGCGACCAAGAAGCGCGCAAAAATGCCAACACCACGCCCTATCATTTTTTTTTTTTTTTTTTTTTTTTTTTGAAATTACATGTGACGTACGCGCAGAGCAAGCGCGGTAATTTTGCGCTCCGCATTTATATGCCGCGTGTGTTTTGTTACGCGCTTAACTATAAACGAGCCGTTTGTGAGAAACTTCAGCGAGACACTTTGCGACGAAAACATGAGCGCGACGTATTATCTTTTTCGTATTATTTCGTTTTAATTCTTTTGTATTGGTAAAAATAACACACAAATGTACACAAATGTGCAAATGTAGATTTATCAAGTAAAATAATTTGAGACGAGAGAGAGAGAGAGAGGAAGGATGCGATGCGCTTAAATCTCAACGATATAAACTAATTCATATTTTTAAAAATTTTCGTTCACTTGCAAGAGCGATGTATTGTATACAACAAAATTAAATATTTAACGCCTGAGGCACAACTTTTCAGCACAATAAAATAAAACAACCGACCGAAGAAATTTAGTGTTCTTTTGTTGCTCTATCGCTTATTGTTTTGTCGCTCGATCTGTTTCGAAAACCCGATGGCTTTATATATATATATATATATACGTATAATCGGCAGAAGTATAAAGTTGGCACAAAGTTCCTAAAAAACCAAATAAACCAAATAAAATAAAATAAAGAAAAGTAATAAAAATCACATCTTAAATAAATAGAACTCTCTTTGCTTTGACTCTTTTCCGGACTATTGATTTTAGTTTCAATAAAACGCGCATCGGTAGTTTTTCAAACGCATCCCGTATATAAATTTACGATATTATATATATCGCCGCGTGATATTTCTTGTTTTACTCCTCTGCGGTAAATGAGCAGGTTGTTTATTTTTTCCTCTTTCGAGGGAGAGAAAACGAACTAAGAGTTAATATCAAAGCACATCGAACCCGAATCTCCTCCTCCTTCTCTCTCTCTCTCTCTCTCTCTTTCTCTCTCTCTTTCTCTTACACAGCGAACGCGCGTCGGGAGTGTTATGGCAACGAAAAGCCGCACTTACCCCGGTATGGAGGTTGATGAGGGAATGAGGAATTCCGGTTTCCGTCTGGAAGGCAGGCAGCATCCGTTCGCCAAGCTGCGCCGCCTTATCCCGGAACATCACGTCCCCCGTGAGAGCGTAACAGGCAAGCAGGCTTCCCATGAAACGAATATTCGTCTCGAACAGCGATATTTCGGAATTCTGAAACAATGCAAAGCAAGCAAATCGCCGGATTAATTACGCGTCGATTTCGATAGACGGGAAAAGTTCCCGTAATATATTAATTAATACATTTCTTCTTTCGCGCATGCACACACACACATATGCACAATGTACGTTTGTTTCGCACGGTTAATAAAATATTTAAACATCGGTTCATTAAAAAAGAGCAATAGAGATCTTTCCTTTGAGAGATTCTCTTTTCCTTCAATTCGCAACTAAAGCACGTGATCTCGAATATTTCTCGCATCATAAAAACGTCACAGCGACGCGTAACTTAGATACTAAAAACAAATATATACACGCACACAAATTTCTTCGAGAGATATTTTCACTCGAATTTTTGAAGAGAAACGCGAATTAACGCCACGCCAAACCGGCGCAGCTGCGAGAGGGATACACACAGGTTTGGTTTCTCTCCGTGGATTAAAGAATGTACGACGCAAAAAAAAAAAATAAAAAGCAAAAAAAAAAAAAAAGAACACGCGCGGCACGTATAAAGGCGCGTACACCGAATATAAAATATAATACATAAGTAATCGGCACAAATCCAACGAAATATCGTGTTTGGTCGGAAGGGGGGAAAGAGGAGAGGGTATTTGCGCACGCTGCACCTGAGCTCTGCGGCACATTGCAGTTTGCATGCATCGCGCAGAAACTCTATCTAAGTGATGTAAACACCGCGGATTACACAATATTCGTGTAGCCGTAACATTGTAACGAATATGTACCTTCCCTTAAGACGTGGGGTATCCGTTGCCCAAAACACACGAGGAGAAAATAAAAAGGAAACAAATATGAAACTTCAGGTACAGACGAATAATTCGTTTTGCGCCGAATGCTACATACGGGAAAAAATTTTTACCGTTGTGTGTAACCAAGCAAAAACAATTTGCGATAAATATTTCGCTAACAAGATATTTTGTTGGCAAAACAAAATTCTTTAATAGATTTAACAAATTGTTTTGCCGTCCATATAAATGAAATAATCTTCTCGTTCAAACGCGAATAATTTTTCGCTCATACGCATAATTTTGTTGTTTCACCGATTCCGATTAATCACATATTGAAACTCAAAGTGGATTAAATGTCATCGTATAATCGAGGTGGTCTTGATTATTATTATTATTATTGGATTATTTATATCGGATGGAAATTAATTAATTATTTCGCTTCGAACCGATGACGATACGCACACTTCGCTACGTGTATATAAACGCGCGACGTGAAATGCGCGAAAGCTCTGCGGCATTAGCCGCGATGATCCGGAGAAACGATCGTTAGCGGTTTCCGTATCGCGTCGCGAAAAAGTAGAAAATCCCTCTCTCTCTTTTTCTCTCGGGGTCGGGCTCGCTACGTTTCCGCGAGATATTCACGGCGAGACCCGCAGTTTCGTTGCACAACGCGCATTATAGAACTTTTTTTTTTTTTCCCAGCGGCGCAAAGTGCGCGCTCGTTTCGGTGCGCGAAAAAAGAATTGTATAACGAATGTCACGATATAGCGAATTATTTTCGTAGCGAGCGTTCAATTGTACGCGCGGAAAAACCGCGCGTCCTCGGAAACAATGTGGGGCAATATATATGTATGATTTTTTTTTTACAAAAAAATAACACCGACGTCAGAAACATCTCGAGAAAGTAATAATAATAATAATAATAATAATTTTTGAAACTTCTAATTAACGCACGCGGGTCTTGTGTCGCGCACTTTTTAAAATTCAAGTGCGCGCGCGTGCAAGACATGTAATTTCGCGCGACCGAAAAAATACGCGCGCGAGACAAAGGGCAGAGAACGTTTTAGAAAACGTAATTTTTCGAGATGATAACACACACACACACACAAAAAAGAAGTCTCCGTCCTAAGCGAAAGAGCGCGCGCGAGAGATATACGTTTAATTAGACAGCTCAGAGACGTGTGTTACTGTTGCTCTCCGTAAACGCGGAGTCGCAATAAAAATTTCGCGTTTCGTACCGAGTAGCTCGCACGTCATTTGTATGCACCGCACCGATACGAAACCGAAGATGGTGCAGCATAGCAAACGTCGGTATATCTCGGACTTACGATTTGACGTGCAAGCAACTGTATCAACGCGTCCTAGATAGAGCTCATCTCTCTCTCTCTCTCTCTCTCTCTCTCTCTCTCTCTCTCTCTCTCTCTCTCTGTCATTCAAAACTTGTACATCTACGTAATTCCCGGCTATGTGCCGGCTGCTTGTGTTCCTTCGCTAATTAGCCAGTTTGAAGGACTACGTTTCTGCATTCGGACCGAAGTTCGAGCTCCAACATCGGCGGATTAGCTTCGAAATTGGCTTCGTGAATGTGTTACGTGTAGATCTCAGCGAAACCGCGATCGGGGAACAAAAAAATATATATATATATACATGCAAACGATGAGCCAATGAGAATCGACGACACGTAATTCCTCGGGAAAGAAATAATCATGTGAAAATTTGTGTCGTACGGCATTCAAAATCAAGTCGAGTACATATAATTTTCTAGCAAAATAATCTCTCATCTGTGATTATCATGAGCGCGAGATAATAATTTGTATTCGTTGAACACTCGGCGCGGCCGGTTGTCTCGTAATTAGGAAAATTCGAAAGCGCCACGGCGCGAAACACCGCGCATCGCGTGGAGATAATGACGCGTGGCGCATAAAAGCGGCCCAAATTGGCGTTGTTCTCACGTTTGCGGGCTATTGTGCGGACTAATTGACATTTATGACGCACGCCGTGATAGGGAAGTGCCGTGGGAAGTTCGTAAGCGATACATTTTCCCGTCGATTACACGCTCCGAAGATTAAATATTTCTTGTCAACTCCTAATTAGAGCTCGAAGTCTCTCTCTCTCTCTCTCTCTCTCTCTCTCACACACACACGACTTTCCATTAAAACCGCAATCTGGCTATTACGTCTTAATTATACGTAACTTATAACGATTAATTCTCCGCATCCTGCGGAATCACGCGAGTGTTATATATTTCCGATTAGATAAAGTTATTTATATAGAATTATCTAGATTATTTTGTTTTAAAAAAAAGAAAAATCCCGAGTCGAAATTTTGACTCTCTGATGAACCTCTCATTCTACTATATATAGGAGTTACGATAGTAAAGTAGGTTCAATTGCAAGGATAAAATTTGCT